CTTGCTGCAACCTGAACTCACACCAGCTTACACGCTGCAACATGAGCACATAAGCAGTGTGGTACACTGCTATCATAGATACACCAGAAAGATCATCTTCAAAAAACAGTTTCAAAACTTCTGTGGTTAAATATGAGCTTCACAGTGCTTCAGTGTAACTTAACCACAGAAATGCTCTGAAAACAGCTTTTTCTTGCCAAGACAACAACCTGTGTGATACTGCAGTAGATTCAGTGCAGTGGAGAAGGCTTGTTAGGCTGCTTTAGAGAGCACATGGAGTTAAGGAATTTTTAAGCCATAGTTCCAGCACCTACAATAAAGAGGTGGCCCTGCTTGGTTCAGGAGCTCCATTCATTAGCAACTTTGTAAACAGCATTTCTGCTAGATGAGCAGCACAATCCTAGAAAAGATAATGACTTATGAGCAACTGACATCAGAACTGAGGAAGCTTTTCCTGGCTCCTAGCAGAATGTGCTTAACAAAGGGTGTAACTGAAAGGTTAAAGGCAAGCCCCTGACAGATGCGGCATCTTTCTATACTGCATTCTTCATTACAAAAGCCACCAAAGGCTCACAAGGTGCACTGCAGACATCAAAACAAACACAGCTCACAATGGTTGAAAAGCAGTTTCAAATGTAAAGCTTTTCACAGAAGCAAAATCATCCACATCAGAATCGAGTACTTATTCAGTAGCTTACGACACATACAGCTGAGATCTATAAGGAGGGCAAATTTTAGAATGAAATTCCTAAATAATACTTTTTACCCAGATTTGAAACATGACTAAAAGCATTTAGGATGACCATTTTAAGAGATGCATAGCAGCCGTTTGTTTGAAGTCTCACCTGTAACTCAGAGACAAGATTTTAATCCTGTAGATTTTTCAGTTTTCCTACACAGCACAGCAATTGACACAAACATCTGGAAAGCTTCCTTAGAGGCAAAATAAACAATTACTGTGAATTTTTCATACACTACAGAAGATTTTACCGAGTCCCTAGAAAATTAATTGAAATGGAAATCAACAGAGAAGAATCTGAAGATGCATTTGAAGCAAGAAGAAGGGCTGCTAAATCAGCCAAACTTGAAAGGACAACAAAGAAGCAACACGATTATCTTAAAATAATAAGTGATCAACAGATCTGGAACCTAAAACCGATTACGAGTTCTTTCAAAAGACTGCCTCAAAAGCCCCTGTTACACACTTCAACCTAACAAGAAATGCACGAATGTTCTATTTATCGTCCTGTCAGCCTGACCTCAGTATCAGGGAAGGTTATGGAGCAAATCATCTTGGGTGAGATTGCACAGCATGCACGCAGTGTCCAGGGGATCAGACCCAGCCAGCATGGGTTCATGAAAGGCAGGTCGTGTTTGATCAACCTCATGTCCTTCTATGACTGGGTGATCAGTCTGGTAGATGAGGGAAGGGCTGTTGATGTAGTCTACCTAGACTTCAGCAAAGCCTTTGACACGGTCCCTCAGAGGCTTCTTCTGAGTAAACTGGCTGCCCGTGGTCTGAACAGATATACACTTCTTTGGGTAAGGAACTGGCTACAGGGCCCTGCCCAGCGGGTCGTGGTGAATGGAGTGAAGTCCAGCTGGCGACCCATTTCAAGTGGTGTCCCCCAGGGGTCGGTACTGGGGCCCATCCTGTTTAATATCTTTATTGATGACCTAGATGAGGGGATTGAGTGCACCCTCAGCAAGTTTGCAGATGACACCAAGTTGGGAGGTGGTGTTGATTTGCCTGAGGGTAGGGCGGCCCTGCAGAGGGATTTAGACAGGATGAACCGCTGGGCTGAGGTGAACGGGATGAGGTTCAACAAGGCCAAGTGTCGGGTCCTGCACTTTGGCCATAACAACCCCACGCAGCATTATAGGCTTGGGGATGAGTGGCTGGATGAGTGTGAAGAAGAGAAGGACCTGGGGGTGTTGGCTGATGCTCGGCTGAACATGAGCTGACAGTGTGCCCAGGGGGCCAAGAGGGCCAACGGCATCCTGGCCTGCATTAGAAATAGTGTGGCCAGCAGGAGCAGGGAGGTGATCATCCCCCCCTACTCAGCACTGGTGAGGCCGCACCTCGAGTACTGTGTTCAGTTTTGGGCTCCTCACTACAGGAAAGATGTTGAGGTTCTGGAGCGTGTCCAGAGAAGGGCAATGAAACTGGTGAGGGGTCTGGAGCACAAGTCTTATGAGGAGCGGCTGAGGGAGCTGGGATTGTTCAGTCTGGAGAAGAGGAGGCTCAGGGGAGACCTCATTGCACTGTACAACTTCCTGAAGGGAGGTTGTGATGAGGAGGGATTTGGCCTCTTCACCCAGGCAACGAGCAGGACACGGGGCAATGGCCACAAGTTGTATCAGAGAAGGTTTAGGTTGGACATAAGGAAGAACTTTTTCTCTCAGAGAGTGGTCAGGCACTGGAATGGTTGCCCAGAGAGGTGGTGGAGTCACCGTCCCTGGCAGTGTTCAAGAGGGGTCTGGATGACGTGCTGCATGATATGGTTTAGTGCTTCTGGTGGCAATGGTGATGAGGAGATGGTTGGACTGGATGATCTTATAGGTCGTTTCCAAGCTTGTGATTCTATGATTCTATGATTCTATGATTTAAACAGAATGATGACAGGCAAAAAGAAAATCTGAAAAGTTGTCCAGGAAAAGAAAGAAATGTTTTCGCTGACTCCTGTCCCTGGGTTAGCACTGCCACCACAGATAGCTTCCAGAGGCACTCCTCAGTGACATGATTGATATCTGATTTATATCTGATATAACTGAACATCACATTGTTTCTTATAAAACAAGTTCCAGTTATACTTAAGTTGTTAAAACTACATGCTAAGAAATTGTGATTTCCTTACAATTTTCCACCCGCTTTAAAGGATGCCTTCAGCACTTGCTTTTGTGCATAAAGAGGTTCTATCAGCAGGTTTAATTCCCACTCATGGCTGACGTAAGACATTTTTTCATAACACTTTGCTTTTACAGCACTTTGGCTTACATCCAAATGTAGGCCCACTTCACTTCTATGCAAATGTTTTGTATTTCATATAAATTGTAATTTGCTTCAATTCAACTGGAAACACACAAGCACGCAGTTAGTAGGATAGAAACCTAAGGCCAGTTTTGTAAGAAGGATTTATGGCGTATCAGCATATTGACTTGCAATTTAAAAAATAAACAACCTAGGTATTTACTCAGCCAGAATGCTAACCTTGCAACGTGCCTCCAAGGAATAACGCTTTCCCTCTCTAGCAGGCTGCCCAGGAACAGCTTTATTCTCTCAGATAGCAGATGCTGCTACAGCAGGAGCAGAGGGCCATCCCTGAGGGAATCAGCACCACCTCAAGTCAGCCAGCTTCACCCCTTCTCTTCTGCCTCCTTTGTTGTTTTCTAGCCTGCCATCTCCAGAAGAGCACCAAGGAGACCAGGTCACACACTTGACATGAATTTGCATTCGAGAATATGAGTTAAGAAGAGCTGGTAAGAGGAAGAAGATGATGCTTCAAGTAGATTTTGACCAATCTCATCTTTATAGAAAAAGCAGTGTATCTCACTGCATGGAACAGAAGGTAATAAAATTCCAATCAGAATAAAAAGAAAGAAATAGGAGGCATTACTTCCAGAGTAACCTACGTGCAAGCTCCTGCCACATTCACTCAGATCTGCCAAGTACTAACACTGGCCAGCCATGGGCTGACAGAGGACAATTCAGTTTTAGAACTAGAGGAACAGAAGTAAGATCCCTAATTCAACCTACTCCCCTAAGTACACCCATCCTCCTCCACATTTCTGGCCACAGATGGGAAACTGTGACAACCTCCTGAAGGTAGCAGAGAGTTCAAGTGCTCAGCTTTGATAAAGTTAGCTGATAAGACTATTTTATGCACACTAAACACTAAAGGAAAAATGCTGTTTATAAAAAATGCAGTTAGTCGGCTGATTAGCAGAAATTCATGACAAGTGCCCCATGCTATTAAATAACAGCACAGAAAAAGAAAAAATTCAAATATCAGTTGAAAAAATAAGACCACTGCTTAACAGGAGACTCCCCTTGCATGTTAGAAAAAACACCTTGCTGAAGCAGATGGCTATCTGGATATCCTTTCTACAGAGAAATAGTTGCTAGGTAGGAAAGGATTCACAACACGCACTTACCAAATGTGCTTTATGGGAGGAAAAAAAAAAAAACACCTTACTAAGACATTATCTTTAAGATTAAAGGAAAGCAACATATCTCAGAATACTGAGCACAGAGTAACCCAATTGTACAGCTAATAGTTCCTGATCAAGGAAATAAAACTCCACATAATTATTTTTAATAACCTTTATAATCATGTTCTATAAGAAGTGCTCAGTTGTTTTCTGATCTGATTTGGATCAATTCCTACTAGCAGAGGTGTTGTTGAAAGGAAAATTTTTGAAGATCTTTACATTAATGTTTTGGATCTTTTACATTAATGTAAAGATCATTTGTTACTATCAGTATTAGGAAACAGCTCATCATGTACAGCAATTTGGTTCCTGGTGCCATAAACTCAATAACATCATCAAAATTAGGACTAAAGTTTATAGCTAGGTTGTAGTAGGAAGGTAAAAGCAAAGTATTAAATAGACACTAAATAAATTAAATAGTATTTAATTTATAAAATATTTAAAGTATTATTAAAGTATTATTAAAGTAATATATAAAGTATTTAAAGTATTTAAAAGTATTAAATAGACTTTCTGTCAAAAAATTGTCAAGTATTCAGGTCACATTCATAAATTATAACTACTACAAAGACATATGTCATGCAAATAATATTACTTTATGCTAGGAATATAAAATTATAACAGCATAAGTCACACCCCTTATCTTCTGGGAGCAATTCTGATCTCTAGTATTTGAGGGCAACACACGTGACTTCAAGCAAGTGTACTGCTAAGAGCAGAATTTTCTCCTTTCCAGAGGGTGTTCAAAATCACTGAAATTCGTAAGTCCTACTGTAAAGTGCACTTACCAGCGCTGGACTGTCTTTAGATTCCAAGTCAAAAACATCCCGCCGTTTCACTGTCAGCAAATCAAGATCTTTGGTATCGTCGTCGTCGTCGTCGTCATCTTCAAAGAACTGCATGGAGTTTGTGTTTGGAATGTGGCTTGACAAAGCACCTTCTTTTTCCTCCTCCTCAAATGCCTCTTTTGATTCACATTCAGACTCACTCTCTTCAGTGCCTTCACTGGAAGAAGGATATTGTTGAGTTTCTTTCCTTCTCTCCTTTTCCTCTGGTCTGTTATCAGACAACTTTCCACCTGAATTAATTCTGCATTCTTCCATTCCTTCCTTCTTCAGTGAGGAGACGGTATTTTTGTTTTGCTCCGTTTCTTTCAAGGGATTTCTCTTTTCAGATGTCTCTTTCGCTGATAACTGTTTCTGAACTTTCTGAAGAAACCTCACACGAGGTGCCATTGCAAGCCCAAGTGATCTAGAGCATGGAATTAAACAAATACATTAATCTGAAAGGTAGATACAAAAATTTTACTAAATTAGAAGACCTCATTAACAGTTCAAGTGCTCCCATTGTAGTTATGATCATTTAAACTTACACACTTTGATCAATGTATTTACAGAATAGTGTTTGGTACTCAACAGCACACAGTAGGTTGAAAGATGCAAATGAAAATGAGGAATGAAGATGAAACAATTGAGATAACACTGGAGAAGACCAAGAAAACAAAGAACATGAAAACCTGCAGACAAGAGCAAATTAAATACAATCTATAATGAAATAAGCAGAAGAAACACCGATACAATTTGGTGTTGAAGATACACGGATGGCACGTCAAGCACTGAGCGCTCATCAAGTCGTTATCCTTTGCTGCTAGAACTACACCCAGAACATCATCCCTACCATCTGGTGGTGACCAGAAGAACAAACAGTATGGATAAACTGCAGGAAAAGCTCTGGGAGAGACATTTGTACCTTAAAAGAAATCCCATCTGCCTTTATTCCTGCTGCAAAGCCTTGGCTTTGTGGCACATATAACTGAGTGCCACGGCGCTATTATTAAACCCAGTTATTCCTATGCTAATGCTTTATAAAAGCGGACAAAAAACGGACAAAATTCAGAAATATTATATGGGAGCAGAACAAGAGAAGACTGTATGTGAACAGATATTTTGCCAGTTTTTCCTATCCATCCTAGAAGAATTACAAGAACTGAAATGACCAATAAGCCAAGCAATACAGCTCTTAGTCTTGGAGGTAGGTAGAGAGGTTTAATATTGCTAAGAAAATAATAGCAGATAATCTTAGACAAATCTGTGCACACAAAAATCCCCCAAACACTTCTTATTATAAGAATTCCTAAAGAAACTTGATTTTAGGTCACTACCATCTCTTTTTTATAGTATCTTCCAAACCGAGAACACTTTGAGAAAGGCATTCTACACTGTTGAAAGTTTCCTCATGTTGTTAGATGCAATAGTTCCCTCAGAATACATTTCTTAATCAATTTTCCAATCTAAAGTTCAGATGCACTAAAAGATTTTCATATATAAATGAGCTTTTCTTTCCAGTCCTTTTTGAAACACAAGACAGTTGTAAATAACCTGTCATCGTTTCTGCAGAATACCAATTCTTATCCAAACTAGCTTTTCATTCTGATATGAAGTTACAGCACTTAATAAACACAAACATACTGCATCAGTAAACTTGTTCAGAATTATAGGAATGCACAAAAGCACAACGCAGCAATTTCTTGTACAGCAAAACAGATTCAGGAAATGAGTTAAAATAGTCTGAGAAAAGTAAATACTCCAGAATCCCAAAAGAAAATATATGCATTATTTGTTTACCGCTTTTAAAATGTTTTCAGAAGACAGAATGTACAAAGCACTTGAAAATAGGAGAAATCAAATCAATTGAAGTGATACAAATCTGAGTTAACAGTCTTTCCAGGTGGCTTGATTAATAACCAAAACAAACAGAAAAATGGCTTTTGCTGTATTCTTTGATTAGCAAGCTTCAAGTCTACACTAAGGAGATAAAATGCAAGATGCTTGACTAATAAAAAGACGGACCAAGACCATCAAGAGTTTCTGGGCCAGAATCAGAGATGATGCCACAAAGAAGCTGTCATGGATTCATGTTCTACAGCCCAAGCCCTGAGAAAAACAAAGTATGTTCTTCTCTGCTGAATTCTGCACCTGGGACAACCCTGGATATATGAACAGACTGGTGCACGCAGTGCTCAGGCAGCCCAAAGGGCCAACCAGACCCTGGGGTACCCCACGGCCAGCAGAGCCCGGCAGGGGGAGGGGCTGTGCCCTCTGCTCTGTGCTGTGCAGCCTCATCTCCAGCACATCTCTGTCACTGCAGAGGACCAGAAAGCTCAGATGCTCACAGAAGTAGCCATAGAAAGATCAGAAAGGGAAGGCTGGATCTCACAGGCTGTTGAGGGAGAGCAATGTGAAAAACGCCCAAACTCCACAGAACACTAGAGAGGATCTTGGTAACGGCATGGAAATAACCTTGTCTGCTTACAGGTGTACAAAATTGCAACCAACTGGGAAAAAGTAATTAAGGCCAGGCCATTAATTTCAAAGGAAGCCTGTGTTTAAGAAAAGATGCACAACGACAGCAAAAAGGAAGGCCAAGCAGTAACCGAGGGCTGAGATGTGCAAAGCCATACCTGGCACTGTCTGCAGAACGCTGGGCAGCTCTGTGCTTGCTGACAGCAGCCAGAGCAGGAAAACAAACTAAACCTTCTGTCCTGACCACATCATAAGAATCAAGGCTGCAGTGGATTGGCCTATTTCTCTGGTCAGTGACAGGACAGACAGGTTTAGAGAGATGGACTGTGCATTCTAGTATCACGCACTTCAGGTCTGATAGCACCTGCAGATACCTGCTGTTCTGTAACACTGATCTGTAAGCAACAATGCTATATTCAGCTGGGTACGAAGTTGTCTGCATTAGATATTTCCCAAACAACTTGGCTTCAGCCTGCTATCTTTATTCTCTGTGTATCAGTGAAGAGATACACAGAAAAATATGCTGCATTCCTCCTGGAAATCACAAGGAAAACAGGGAATTACTTCCTTAGCAGCTCCTTAGAGCAGTGACTAACCTAAATCCAGCAGACTTGCCTATTAACATACTTCCCCAGATTGAAATGTGCTATGTTAGATAGCCTGACAAGAAAAAAATAAATATTCACCCACCTCTTTTTTACCTTGACTCCTAACCAAGAGGCCAGAATGACTTATTACTCTTTTTCTCTCTTATTTGTTTACCTTCGCTTACATTTTCAACACTGGCTTTTGCAATGGAAACACAAATTCTCTTTTATGTAGTGTGGAGGTTCTCCTTCCTGAAACCTGAAGGCTGGCTCTGGTCACAGGCCTGATTAAGTCTTCCTCAGCAAATTATTCTTGATAGCAATTTGTAATGAAAGGATATTGGATACAACATTAACTATCATAGCTCAAAGGTCACAATATCTCTGGAATAGTTACGTATGAGGGGTGAAATCAGGGGTCACCTCCATTGGTGCAGAGTTTGAGCAGGGCATGCAGGCTCTTGTTCATAGCTGGCAAAAATGCATAGCTAATGGTGGTGGCTATGCTGAAAAACAGTGTCTTTTGCTGTGAATTTGCTCTATCAGTGTTATTGTGCTCTTAGTGTCTGCTGCAATTTCCACGAAAATAAATTGGAGGCATTACTTTCAGAGTTATCTAACTATATGCACACGTATACACACAGATGCACAAAAAAGACCACTGCTTTTCTGCAGACTGTCAGCAGCACTGAAAACAATCTCAGTGCACAGACAAGCCAGGTAAAAGAGCAACAGAGGCCTGACATACTGAAATGCAAACCTGAGTGCAGCATGTTTTTTCTATCGGATTTTAGCCAAGTAACAGCTATCAGGCTAGCAGTAAGTCCCTGAAGAAAGTCTGAAATACTTTGAGGAGATTCAGTGTGCTATGGCATGTGCAGTGAATGGAAAGACAGCTGCAGGGTGTATGTAGGCAAGCCTTACAGTCTGGAAAGAGGGAAAGAAGAGATGCAACAGAAACTGCTCAGAGCAGAATCTCCAAATTATCTCTTAAATGTGTTATCTTCTGACTTTTTGATTATGCTTCCATATAGTCCATATTATCTGTTCTACTCCACCCAAAAATTGCCCATTATTTCCATTTTATCACAGCAATGGCATATTAGTAATTTGGCTGAGTTGAGATTAGAGTTGTCTTTCATGAAGGGTCAAATCCTGGCTCAGATGGCCAACAGGAACTATGGAGTATTTTGTCTACATAAATATCTGATACTAAATGCTGAAATTCAGAAAGAGGTACTGAGATTCCTAGACTTCATCACTACCACCATCTGTTAGCAGGCTGGTTAAAACACTGGTTAAGATTTTGTGACCAGTCCTTTCAGTCCTCATCTTCTGTCATTCAGCACAGCAAGACCCACAATTCAGTTTTAAAGACACTGACAAACCACACTGTTGAAGGGCAGGCAACAGATGTAATGAAATTGCTGAAATTTTTCCCAGTTGTCTTAGAAATGTCCTAGTCCACAAAGCATTTTTATAACAGGTTTATTACCTTAAAAAAAACCAAAATCGTGTTAATTGAAGCATAGCACAGGAAGACCAGGTGTTCCACAGTCAAGTAATTTGCCACATTTTAGTTCATTATGCCACCTACTAACAAGTTTGAAGACTTAGGTCTTCTCTGTATATAATTCCAAAGACACATAAAATCAATTTATTATGCATCTTTGATCACCCTCCTGTTCCCTTCTGACTACCCTATGTCCCCTGAGATTGTTTCAAAGCTTCACATTTTAAAACAACCTCAGAGGGCTGTCATCTTTAATGTCAAACTGTCAAAATTAATTTCCCTCCCATAAGAAAATGTGGAATATATGTACAAAAGCTTCTATAGTAAAATGCACACTATTCAGACCAGTGAAGAACTGCTTCATCTTTACCCAGCCCTAAGTATCTTCTGAAAAGTAATTTATATCGAGGGAACAATGTTTCTTTCACACCCAAAACCGGACTACAAAATACCTCAATTTCTCATTAGATAAAAGCCAGCATGTAGCTACGTGGTTGGAGGATGTACCTGAACAAGAATTATTTGTTCTCTATCCTTTTACTCAGCAAGTTCTGTCTTTTATTGTATCTTCTGCTGTACGATTCATCTCTCTTTGTAGAGGTACACTGTTTTTACACATCATTCCTACTTAAAATGTATTTTAAAATAGGAAAGAGCACTGCATAAACATGGAAATATGAATACAAGAAACTTTCCAATGTTATGGGTTAACAGTTAAACAAGCATTTTAAAGCTGTAATACACATTGAGGCTTCTTTTTATACTTTCCACTTTCCATATTTTCTGCCATACTTACAGGGCATATTCTGCTAGAGGCAATTTGAAAACATCAAATACTTCCTTGTTCTTCATTAAGTAAACAGAACGCAAGTAGGATACAAAACACTGAAAAGAAAATAAAAGTATTTTTTAAAAAGAAGCTTTTCATTCAATTACCGACACACAAAATCACCATTGCTCTATCATCTATCAAAACCATCATTGCTCTAAACAGAAATAAAATTTTGCTCTACATGGATTTCAGGCTGAAGTTCTTTTACCTCATATCCATCAGTCAAAATTCACTGGTGCTACTGAAGTGATACAACTTCAAATACGCAAATACTTCATTAAAGCACACGAATAGGCTGAATTTGCCAGTAGTGTGCCCCTTTATTTTCACTAGAAAGCAAACACAGCAACTTAGCCAAAAAAGAAACATTGCTGACATTTTTTTTTCCTCATTTCCTGAATTTCTAAATGACATCCCTCTATTTTGACAACTGAATCACATGGAAACAAACAGAGGCCAAGGTGCTATCAGTCTGAAGTGTATCAGCCGTAACTGTAGCCGCTGGCTAACAAAGCAATTCAACTCAATGTAACTGTCTTTCACTACAGCCTAGGATAATTCATATCACCTTGCCTTTGCCACCAGCTAATCATACACTTGCAGTCGATGAACGCAGCTCAACTGGTCAGCATAAATTCGCTACAAGACATTTATTAATATGAGCCCAAGCTTGACATTGCAATAAATCCATGATGCTCACCAGGAAAACAGGAAACATCACATAACAGGACAATTTCATCCTTTGCTGTATTTCTCCCTCCGCCTTTCTCCAAAGGACAGATTCCTGCTCTTCTTTTAGCATTCACCTTTCTTTTATGTAGTATATTTCTGCCTACCATTTCTTGAAATTAGCACTTCTGTCACCACTGATAGCTCTATATACAGTTTTAGTCCTATTCCAATCGTAATAAAATAATAGAAAATTGCTTTGAAGAATTTCACCACTCTCTCCTGCAGCAAAAGCAGGAGATGTTCTGATAAGCTAACATTCATTCATCAATAAATTGTATCATTTGTTCCAAAGTAGCAGTTGGTTGCTAAATTGGCCATTTACTGCTTTCCTTATGCACTAGCAGAATTCTGAGCTGGCCTCCTGTGGTTACACACTACTACAATATTTTTGTTTCTTTTAAACCAGCAAGCACTAGAACCAACAGCTAATTAAACTAGCACACAGTTTCATTCAAGTACACTACAAACACACCCCTGTTCTGCTACCTGCACTCTTGTCAGAGAAAACTTTTGCCTTGGTAATTCAAGTGGTATTTTAAAAGTTCCTACTGCTTGTTAACCTAAGACAGAGGAGAGACACAAAAATCTGAAACACCAAGCTTTTATGGTGAAATGCTCCAGAGAAAAACTTTTCCAGATGTGAGAACTATGAGACCATAGATCAAGCAGTCACAATGTCATACTTCTTTCCTTGGCCAGTGGAAGTAAGAACTTCTGTAAAGAGCTAAAAGAGAGAGAGCTTTTCAAGCTGTCCTACACTTGATTAGAGAAGCTTTCTTTTACTGGTTTGCTTTTTTAAATGCTGAGGTTTTCAGGTGGCTTCATAGTCTGATCATCTCTCAATTCTTGGGGTGGAAGATTTTATCACACCCCATCTCAGCTACAATCAAGCGTAAGGTACAGAATAAAATACTTGTTTTCTCACATTAAATTATTAAACATTTTACCAAGATAACTAGAAACCTACAGAAAGAGACATAAAAGTTGGCAGATCTCATTAATCTACTGCTGTCTAGCAAGTGACAGCAAAAAGAAATGACAGTCCCTTCTTTCTGTGACAGATGGGAAAAATTATGTTAAACAAAAACTACCTTTTCTGTGAATCTGAAAGTTGCAATATCTACAGATTGTAAGGTCTACGTGGGTCAGTGCACCCACAGAGCAGAAAGCTCATTGTGCCTTTTGGGTAACTTACTTTACTAGTATTTCTTTGATACACACAGTCTAGAAATTATCAATAAGGGGTGGAAAGAACACATCTTTTGTGTATGTACCAAGCCTGCGTAAGGGGATACTTAGATTAGATGTTAATAAAAATCCTTCATTCAGTGTGCAATGAGGCGGTAGCACAGCTGCCCAGAGAGCTGCGGTGCCCCATCCCTGGTGGCCTTAAAGGCCAGGTTGGATGGGAGCCTGAGCAGCCTCAGCTGGTGGGGGACAGTCCTGCCTGTGGCAGGGGAGTGAAACTGGGTGGGCTTTAAGGACACTTCCTGCCTAAAGCATTCCATGATTCTACAACTGAGAATGAACCAAACAAGTGCATTATGTTGTAATGTTTATCAGCTATCAGGGTTCAGCCTTCTGATACGCGAAACAATTTTTTTCAGCTTTCTCACAGACTGGATTCAGGTTTGTATTGCTCTGCATTCAAATAAATTAGCATCTCTTTCAGATAAGAGGCTTCAAAGATAATTCTGTAGTAATACAGAAGCACAGAATTGCTCAGGCTGGGAAAGACCTTAAAGATCATCGAGTCCAACACAACCTAACCATACTACCCTAACTCTAACGACCCTCTGCTACATCATGTCCCTGAGCACCACATCCAGTTTTTAAACACATCCAGGGATGGTGATGACTCAAGCTTTCTGCTGACCTCACTTGCTATTTCACACACTCTGAACACTTCCAATAAGAGATATTCTCTACCCCAAAGCCTTAATGCAAAATAAAAAGGTTATACATACATACATATATATATAATCTTATATCTGGTGTGTGTGTTTGTATGTGTGTGCATAACGGAAGAGAAACTTGACTTTATTCTACTTAATTTTAAGAAGCATTAAGTACAGAAAAAGCAAATAACTTCTTCAAAACTGTGGCAACTTAATCCAAATTCTGATTTGATTTCATGTGCCCTCACTTCAAGTTCTAAAACACTGTCTGTTCTGGATTTCATCCAATTCTCCTAAGATTTGGTCACATCTCCGCATCCAGACTGGAGAGCTGAGGGAAGATGAATGTTGTCAGTATGAGCTCTATTCCTTCTCTTTTATCATTTTATATTAGCCACTGCTTTTTCTACTGTTTTGATCTAACTTTTGTGATGGTTTGTCAGTTTTTGTTTCCTACTGCAACCAAACGTTACAAAAATACTATCACATGAATTAAATCATACCCTCATGGATAACATTAATGCTGAGCAGAAACATATCACAGATCAGAAACATACCAGAAACATATCACAGCTGTTTAGCTACAGGAGTAGCTAAAAAAATGGTTCTGACTAGCAGAACTACTAGAAAAAGAAAACACATCAAGTACTGTGCTGTATTAATCTGCCATATCTGTAGTTTTATTTTATTAATGTGTTTCTTGGATAACTGTTTTAAATGTTAAGAAAAAAATCAATTTATGTGCTATTTTGACAGAATTCAAAGTAACGGAGCTTGACTGGAATCTCGAACTGTAACTGATTATGTTGCCACAGCACCCAGCAAGTCCCTGCAGGAGAGATGGAGAATGCAGTGGCAGACATCACCCTGCTGTCCCATCTCCTCCCACACAAAAACATTCAAGTTAGCAGAAAAATATTCTTGAACTTTCTCAGACAAGGTGATCTAACACCAAAATTAAAAGAACGGCAGAAGGTGGCATGAGTCCATGAGAACTACAGATGATGCAAAGGACACCAGTCTGATTCACCTTGTCTCATTCCAACCAACAGCAAGCAAACCACAAGATGAACTGCCAAATTCCTTAAAGCAATTAGTAAACAAGAATTTAATTCTATCCCTTTTAAGTATGCTTCTCAAACAGGGTTTTTGCTTTTGGCCTCCAAAGCGCAGGACACAATGACTGAGATCTCATGCCCCCAGCACAATAAAATACATCCTACCTGAATTTCTGTGCAGAACTACACCCCTGCACTGCTGTCTCATCCACTCTGGTGCTCGAGGAGAATTTATTTCTTATAACCGTCAAGACCTAGCAGCTTCCAACAGACAGGGCCCATTTTTTGACAAACTGAACATTTCAGTTAACAATCTGAGGTCAAGATTTCAGCTGCATTATTACTACTGTTTTATTCACATTAATATGTATGAATACTGGAGGACACTGTAGACTGTTTGAACACTCAAATCTTATTAAGGAGGAACAACTATGACAAACCACTTGTCCATATTTTAAGATTCTCAAAAACTGAACATGTACACAGTTTGCCTGCAAGGTGACACTGCACTAATAGCCATAAATGAAAAACTGCAACAAAAATTGCTCAACATGGTAATGAAATTACAATTTACAATTTTCAAAATTCGCCAAAGATCTTATTTGCAACCTTGACAGACAGCCCCCTGTTTGATTTTGTTCTTGTGCTATTTTGAAGCTCTCATTATTTTCTGTTGCTCAGTTCAGAAAGACCTTTCTCTTCCTTTCAAGAGATCTTAAAAAAAAAAAACAAAAAAAAAACCCACCAAAAAAAAAAAAAAAAAACAAAAAAAATAACCCACAAACAAAACAGGAAGACTTGTAAACATTTTCATTCCAAGAAAGATAATGCTGGCTTCCCCCTACTCTCAACCTCCTTCAGTCAGCTGCTCCGCCACTTCTGATGTACATGTGTGTAATTACAACTTCCTGTGGCAGTTGCTGATGATCATAATTTGTCACCAGTGCACTTGGCCTGTGCAATATGAGGAAGCTTACACTGACATTCCACAAGCTGCAACCTTGCTTTTACAGTCTGAAATATTGCAACTTGCTTTCAACAGAAAGACTACAACTCCTGGTCACAATCCCATTCTCATTTTACTCTATCACTCAGGTTCAGTAGAATCTTTTCATGTGTCGTCTGTTCCCATGCTGGTTCACATAAATGAACAGTTTCCAATGCTAATACAGAATCTCTGCTTCTCTTGTATTCCTCAGACTTTGGCACTTCCAAATTTCCAATCATTTGGCTTTTGGTAATGCTCTTTAAATGTCACCTGTATGTACAACAAAGTGACCTGAAAGATTTTATTATGTACCACCACTTGCTAAAACATGCTTATTCTTTCTACTGATGTCATGTTGTAAAGCATGAGAAAAATGTAGCAGTTCCAAACACTGCTGCTAGGTCACTCCTGCAGGTCAATTATTCTAACAGCAGATCTATTTAAGTAGCATGTCTCAAGAAGCTGCAGATGACTACTTACCCTTTGAGCTTTCTCTTTTAATTCCTGATCTTGAGCTAAGAAAGCTTGCATTCTCTTTTGGATGTCTGTAATCTTCTCAGGATTAATTCTATTAAAAAAAAAAAAACAAAACAGTTTGCTGTAGCAATTACAACAAATAACCACCTATTAAGTTCTCAAGAGTATCTTCATGTTTTCCACACCACTTAAAAATGCACAAACATGTCACCACTCTGAAAAGTTTACAGTGGAACCATATTAAGGATGAAGCACACACTCTTTATATGAATAATACAGAAGAAAGAAACAGGAGCTCAGACGTTTTATTCAGCTACAGTTTTCGGTGAAGGATGTGACACTTTCTCCAAAGCCAAAATCATCATTAAAATACTTCTGGAATTTATAAAAATGATGAGGAAAAAAAAAAAAAACAAGCCCAATGAATCACAGGACTACTTTACACTGAGATAATAATGTTCCTAGGGAAATTCTCAGCACTTTTGAAAGCTTAAAAAGAATCCATCGCATTGGGAATAGTGAAATTATCTTCTCTGTTACAGGCAGATGAGCAAAAACAAAGGACGTTCAGATTAAACAGATTTAGGACCTCCTCAAGATATCAATCAGGAAAATAGAGAACAGCTACTATATCACAGAAAATGATATTAGAGCTGGTAAGGAGTTATACACAGCCATCATATTTCTCACAATGAACCTTGCTGCTGTGTGCAACATCATCCTATGCTGTACAGCGACACACAGCTCTTAAGAAAACAAAATTAAAAAAGAAGGTTTGTTCCCATATGTCAGTCGAGAAAACACGGCTGTGATTAAAATATTAGGAAAGAAATATCTTACAGTAATTTCTTTGGTAACATAAACTATTATGACTGTGAAACATGAAAAAAAAAAAAAAGCCATTAAACGGGCTGGAAGTGCTACCAAGTAACAATTTAAGATAACAAAGCTTCAATCCTTCATTATTTATATTTCCTATGTCTATCAGAAACAGACAGCAGAAGACTGCAGTGGACATAAGAACTGTTTGGCTGCAGTTTCTATTAAAGATCCAACAGCGAAAACACAGTCAAACATGTAAAAGTTCACTCCAAACATGTAAAAATGGAAGACAGAAATCAAGAGGCATGAAAAACTCAACGAGACACAAAGTGACCAACAAGTCCTTGAAATGCAGTGCAGATGAAATACACATAAAATACCAAACACAGAAAAAGTAAACAGAGATTGTTCTATCAAACAAGAATGAGAAAAGGAACAACAAATTTTTCCAACACAGGAAAAATGGTAGAAAAGCAAAATAAAAGCAGTGGCTTAAGTGACACTGAATTATATTAGAAGGTACAAGTGCAAAATACACCATCTTGAGGCAGACAAAATACAGGACGAATAACAAAAATCTAACTAGATGAAATCAAGAGGTTCACAATGACCTGAAACTCAAAAGGAAAGATTCAAGTGAATACAAGTACAAAAACCATTGCAAGTACCCCGGGATAAAGGAACACAAGCACAAAATGAGGTATAATGAAGAAGTGAGCACAAGAATAATCAACAATAAGCCTTAAAATTAACACTCAATAATCCCAGAAACAAGCTGAATTACTGCTAAGTTACAGGAAAATTACTAAGAGATGACACACATTCAAATTTTTCCCCTCCTGGTCTTTGCTCAAAGCTGCAGGTGCCATCACACAGCCACCAGCAGTTACAGTGCAGCCCAAGCTCATGCCAGAACCAGAAATCATGGGTTAACGGGCACTTAGATAAACCCACAGGGTGAAAAGAAACTTGGCAATAGCAAGAAAGAGCAGTTAGGGACACAGTTACATCTATTCTAGACAGCTCACTGAGAGATAAAGATCTTCGAGACGGGGCAGGTAAACACAGCGCTCATCTTCAAAGGTGGCAAAAAACAGAAGTTACAGCAGTGCTTTTGCTGCACTTGATACTGAAAAATTGATTTGTAAGCACCTAAAGAAAACAAGCAAACACATAATAGCCAACACAGCTTAGAAGCAAAACATGACTAATCAATTTGATTATCCTTCATACTATAACTGGCTTTAAGAATATGAAAGAAGTAGCAAATGTCCTCTCTTGATGTTGGCAAAATATCCAGCAACCTCACATTCTCAGAAGCTATAGAAACACTGTCTGCATCACGGGCATCCAACCTTTTGGCCTGCCTGGTCACGATGAGTGAAGAGGAATTGTCTTGGGCCGCATATAAAATAATAGTTAGCGTATATAAATATATATATTTTTTTAATTAAAACACTAAAAAAAAAAGATCAACAAGAAAATAAGACTAGAGGGATATTTAATCTTGTTTTTGTGAAACTAACGCATCAATGTCTGGTTTGATGGAAGTGGCTGCAGTTCTCAGTGTGTTCTCACAGCCACAAAACGCTGACGTGAACAAGGCGCGACTGTGAAGTGAGGGATATCTCACTCTGGTGAGAGAGGGCTTAGAAAAGCCTGGTAAAGGGACCTGATCAAATGTTTGAGTCGAGTATCTGATTGCAACTCTGCACGCTCCATCTGAAAATTCACAGGTAATGTATTCATGTCAACTGAAAATGGAATTAGAAATACAAAAAAAAAAAAAAGAAAAAAATTGAGGGTTTGTAGTTTTTTTTGCAAACTATTCCCAATTTCCTTTATCAAAATGGAAATGTGCAGTGGCATATTTTTTACTGTTCACAGGACTGTGTTTAGCCAGTGTACCACAATGCATAACTTAAGTTAGCATTGCTCTTTTCCCATCTCCATGTCCTTCTTACAGCCCCCACACCAACATTCAGCTGCTGCTGAGCAATGGGTGTGTGCCCATGGCCAGGCCAGGCTCCACAGTGAGAAGAGCCAGCACCACGACAGCTCAGGACGGCTGCAGGATGAGCTGGGCCAGGATGCACACAGCCCACACACTGGACGTGTCCGAGCTGCAAGGAAAATGAAAGTAAGGCAAAACCAGCTGCAGAGCTGTTATGCCAATGACTGACACAATGCTGAAATCAAAATGCAGGGCATGATCCAGTTCCCACCTGGCCCGCTGCTACTTATTTTCTACAATTTGTCGATCATAAGAATATGATCCATTGCTTTCAGGATACAATACGGCACTGGGGATTCAGGCACAAAGGACAATAATCTCAGGCAGGCTGAGATTTTTTGAATGCACACTGATTTTTGTTTAAGTTAAAAGGAAATATATGGTAGTGTAAATCTAAGCAAAGTTTAAAAAGTGCAAGTTGCCCCAAGCACGTTCTGCAGTTATGCATTTGCTAATGAATGAGTCAATTTGCAATCCCCAAAAAAAAAGTTGTAACTCTGGGTGCTCTTCTCTACAGCACTGCATCAAGAGAATCAACCACTGCTGTTTCTGTCTTATGGTGGGATTCCAAAAATACAAAAGCTAGTAAGCGGATTTTGGTTTTAATGAGTTTGTATGTTATTTCATTCCGAACAAATGAAACTCCTTACAATAATTATAGGCATGTAACTATGTGAGGAGACAAACCTAATAAATCCAAACACTTAATTGATGATGTACGAGCTCGCCTGAGCAATTAAGAATCAGCGAGCTAGAATCCACTACCAAAAGCATAGGAGAGGAATTTATTGCACTGTCTGTCATTTTAACTAGGTTGTTTTTCCTTCTCTTACTCTGTATGTACTCAGTTTATAATTAAAAAGTAATATAACTTTCTAGAACTGCACTTTTGCCCAGCAGCTGCATAAATGGCCATTTGGCCACTCCTGACTATGTCATGATATACACATAATTTCAGCTACTTCCATCTCAGACCATATCTGACAGCGCTCTATGAGTTTTCCGGCCAACACTCATTCTTGTTTTCCTCTCCTTCCCCTCATTTTTAATATCAGGATACAAGCACTGCTCTGAACTCTGTCTTCTCCATCTTCCCTAAAGTGCAATTTAAGCAAAACAATTAAATCACCACCAAAAACGCCATCCTGCCAAATGATTCCCTAAAACAAGATGCTTTCCCTTTACCACTCACTGGGTTAGAAGTACTCTGCTTTAGACACATCTGTGCATAGCTTTAGTGATGAACATGCTGTCAGCACAGACACTACACAACAGGCCTCAGCAGATTCTCACCCACAGAAACATCTGCACTTTCCTTCTTTCAATGCAACTTCTGTCTACAAAATCTGTATTGATTTATTTTTATAAAACATACAAAATTATTCTTTCAAACATGTAATGTACACACCATTGAAACTCAAGCAACCTGGTGTAGAGGGAGGAGTCCATGCCTACAGCAGGGGGTTGGAACGAGACGACCTTAAAGGTCCCTTCCAACCCAAACCATTCTATGATTCTATGAAACTGTGTGAAGCAGCTGATAAAACATCCCTTTTAGAGAAAATGAGAAACACATAAATAATGTTAAACTGCACAGTGTCAGCAAATTGGATACTGAACCACACACTCAGCATACGCATCACGCGGACACACAGGGTCTCTGTGCTGTGCAAGTCAATTCCAGCCCCAGCCACTTTGCTCCTATTGCCCCTTGTAAGGATTCCTGAGGAAACAGGCAGTGAAGCTTCATTTCAGCAGCATGCAATACATCTAAGAGAAAAGCTGCTGGTTAAACTAAGAAAGAAAAAAAAAAAAAAAAAAAAGAGAAAAATAATGGTCTAAAGTTGCTGACTGTAAACTGACTGTACAGAGTAAGTCAGATATCTTACCAACACCTCTTTCTTTTACTTATTTTAAGAACTCCCAAAAACAGCATCTGAGCATTTAGATGGTAATTCATCCAATGCTGAACCCTCCAGAGGGAATGCTCATATGAGGAAGCCTCTAAGGGAGCCAACACAAAGATCATATTGCTATTTTGTTAGAAAAGCTTTGCTCACAGATTTTAATCTTTAATGCACACGTATTAATAATGTTTAAAAAGCAGATTTAAGAGGGTTTGGATTTATTTCGTTGTACAGTCTCAGTATTTCACCCAGGTTCCAAGCAGCAGCAATTTTTGCTCCATGCTCTCAGTGTGGAAGTTGGCTTCCTGTGCAGCAAGGACAACCTCCAAGCTGCAGAGAGGAGGAAGAGCTGGAACAGGGAGCAGCTGCACAGAGCTGGCAGCCTCACACAGCACAGCACGTACAGCTGGGGGTACTGACACAAATGGATATTCATACAGCACGGATGGCTTCTAGAAGGCAGCAAGTTTTAATGGATTCCCAAGTATTAAAAATACCATTATATAGAATTGGTATCCAAGTATTCTCCACCACGAGACACAAAAGCAGAGCTTTTTTCAGTAATTGCATTTTTATCCTAAGACCGAAGCTAGCAGTATTTCACACTGGATATCTACAGAGCTGCTCTTCCTTGGGTAAAATTTTCCAGAGAGGCAAATTTAGCAAGGATAACTCCTCCAGAAGCAGCTTTTATCTAGCCAACAAAATTACATGCAATGAAGCAATCTCAAGGTACTATCAAAAATCATTTCAGTTTACATCTAAAACTTTAAAGTTATAGACTGATAATAAATATGCCTATGTAACATTTAATACTTTCAGAGTAGCTTTCTGCCTTATTTGAATACCACTACATTTATTATTGTATATTTTACAGTTTCTCTTGCTCTGCTTTAACAATGAAGAAACGTATCATTAAAAGCACTAACTATAAATTTGCAGCTTGTAGTGATTAGAGAAGACTGATTTACTGTAACAGGCTCTACAGGGAGCTTGGATACAAAATTCAAAGTCAGGAAAAAAACCTTTAGCCTTTTAAACAGGTATTTAGGAAAATGAAAGATTCACCCCATGAATTCTGCAAATTATGCGACTTTTAATAGCCCTACATAAACAAAACGAAGAAATATTAATAGCTGTTTGTAGCAAAACATTCACTTAGACTGCTGTGGTTACACTGCTGGTCCTTGTAAGGTGCTACAACGCTTAAAAGGAAAAGAAAACAGCAGATGTAAAGACATCTTACAAATTACAAATGTTGTCCACATCCAGTTGTGTTTTTTGTTTTTTTTTTAATGAACAGCAGTGTCAAGAGAAAACTTCAGCAATTAGACTTTTAGGAGCTGCTTGAGTTTGTTTTTACAGTCCTATCAAAAGATGTCTAACATCTGAGATTTGTGCATATTCCACACAGAACTGATAACCACATCTGCCCAGAAATGGTGTATTTCACAGGCTGCTCTGCAGTCAGTCTGTAGGACAGGAGTAATGCTTGCAAAGAATGTTCAAAGAAGGGCAACAAAGCTGGTGAGGGGTCTGGAGCACAGGGCTTATGAGGAGCGGCTGAAGGAGCTGGGATTGTTCAGTCAGGAGGAGGCTCAGGGGAGACCTCATTGCTCTCTATAACTTCCTGAAGGGAGGTTGCAGTGAGCTGGGGATCAGCCTCTTCTCTCGTGTAACTGGTGATAGGACCAGAGGGAATGGCTTCAAGCTGCACCAGGGAGATTCAGGCTGGATGTTAGGAAATGCTACTTCTCTGAAAGAGTGATCAGGCACTGGGATGGGCTGCCCAGGGAGGTGGTGGAGTCACAGACCCTGGAGGTATTCAAGGAATGTTTGGACGTTGTGTTGAGGGACTTGGTTTAGTGAGAACTATTGGTGATGGGTGGATGGTTGGACTGGGTGATCTTGAAGGTCTTTTCCAACCTCAGTGATTCTGTGATTCTGTGCAAGGACAGTTTGCCAACCACTAAAATTGAAACAGTCCACCTTAAAACTTTAAATCTGCAAAGTGCCACGTGTACAGGCATTGCATATTTAGAATTATTACATTTAACTTCGACATTAAAAATGACAAAAAGCATCAAAAACAATCAGCAAAGTCCTGCTCATAGCTCGCAGCCTTGTGAAGCTGGTTGGTGCACTCAGAAGAGTAAGATTCAGTAGAAACTGCAGTGATTATCAGTCTGTGATTATCAGTCCAAGCTTTTGCTTACCACCTCCATAGCAGCAGACCACGTGCCTTCCTCTCCATTTACAAAAACAAATTAAAGTTTGTGAAGCCACTATCGTATCAAGTTGCAATCAACTACATAATCCTAGCTTACCTTAACGCACCCTATTATTAAAAGTACAATAAAAAAGCTAAATTAAGAAAGTCTTGCTCAATAGATTCTAATGACAAAACCTGAACTGCAGCCACTTGCATTTCTTAATTCAAATGATTTTGTATTGTAAGCTGTAAGAAATCTCATCTAACAGTAAAAGCAGCAGCCATTTCTTACCTTCAATCATTACATCAGAATTCAAAGAATACAGTACGATTTTTGGCTAACCCAAAGGTTTAAGTGCTAAGGTAATAACAGCCGCTTAAAGTTTCACCCTATCTTGTGTTATTCTCAAAAACAATTATTCCACCAAGATTCTCTGCATACAGCTAATTACATTTCAGTCTCAGATATTTCCACCTTCAAATCACGCCTTCCCAAAAATAGAACAGTTCTAACTGTTCTTATCTACTGGTACGGAAATTATTTCCTACCTCTCATCCATCTTTCTCTTGATTTATTCAATCATTTTTGACATGAGGTAACATCATCTACACAGGTTTCCAAAATGGAGTCCAGCTCACAGTGTATTTGCTGGTTTTATTTCACTTCTTTTCCTACATTTCCTTCTGATTCTGTTTTTCCTTCTGACTTACCAGTGGGCTGACAGCACCAAAAAACATAGTGCTGCTAAGGAAGAAATTATTTACTTCTTTTTGTGTTCTATTTATTACTTTCAGAGTTAAGGCATTTGTCTTTCCTACAAGTGTATTACGCCACATTTAACAGATATTGGAAATACGCTGTTTGTTTGTTTTGCTTCTTTTTTTTCCCCCCAGCTCATTCAAAATCAGTTTTCATTGGTACAGAAAGCACAGAGCAGGTCTTCATTAGTACATTCTCTGAAATATGAGAAATTATCACTTAGTAATGCTTTTTAAAAAAAAAAAAAAAAAATCTTGTTCATCAGGTAACTGATTCAGAAAGGCCATGACAAACTGGAGAAATTCTCCAGAAGTAAGGAAGCTCCAGTCAAGAGAAATAAGAATGATAAATGGTCTGAAAAACATTACAAGGCAAGATTAAAGAAATTGTAATTATTTAATCTGCAAAAGAAAAGGAGATAGTGTGATAACGTTCAGCTACATGAAAAGTAGCTGCAGAGAGTATGAGAATGTCATTTTCCATAAGTTCCTGGCAAAGGATTAAAGAAATATTTCACATACATTTACTGTAAAACTTATCAGACACTTGAGAAAAAAGCCTTAATGACAGGAACTGCTGAGCATAGATGAGATCACTTGGGAAAATGGTACAGATATTCACTGGCAAATTAAATAGGCATTCAGTGTAAGTAATTTGTATGGCTGATCCCATCTTCAACAGAAGGGCTGGAATAGGTAACCTCTCAAGGTCTTTTCTTCTTCAGTAGTATCAAAAGCAAGTCATCTCCCTTGTTTGTCCAATTCCAAGCAAATCAAGCATTTGACTTCATCACTGTTGCCATACTCATTACACACCATACCTGAGGAAAGGTAACAGATGAGCCATTAGTCACTTACTTTATTTCATTGACAGGTACTTTCCTCTGTGCCAGCTGTTCTACCATGCCTTTTTCTTCTGAGGGCAGCAGTACTAACAAAGCTTCACCACCTTCTTTGTACCTGATCCAAAGGGAAAAACAAAAAATGTTTTCAACAACTTATGAGAATTACATTTGCTTCCTTATTAGTAGCCCAAAAATCAGACAACCATCCTCATTCCAAAAAGGGAAAAGCCAAACCAGTTAAATGACTTGTCACTATCTCCACGTGGTTTCAAAATTACACCTTGAGTTCTATATGCCTGGGTCTAAGACAAGAAGTCAGAGCAGAGGATCCTATTCTTTCCTAGATTAGAAATGTTTCTGTGGTAATCAAATGACGCTTGATCAAATATTGCAAGATCCAGCTACTTGCATTCATACTGTACAATAGGAAAATCACAACTCTTGGTACCACCAGATTCTCCTTTGCACACCTGCAACTATAAGAATGTAGCATTAGAAAAGCATTAAGTGCTTTGAACTCAAACAACTACTTCTATTTGGATGTTGAACTCAGACTACTTTCTAAAAGATCATAGAGGAATTACTGTAACAGAAGCATTGAAACAGATTCAGTTATGAGCCACAGCCTCTCACTGTGTAGAACAGCTCTAAACTGACAGAGGTGCTACAAGGCAAGTCCCTATGCAGAAGCAGATGATAAGCCTGCAAATGGCCACAGATATCAGCAGTCCATTTGTTTGAAACAAATATTTTTCATTTCTTTTTAACATCATCTTTTATTTACTAACTAAACAGAACTTTGGTGCCTACTCCGTTCACAGTTGTCTTGCTGGTAATTTTTTTCATCCAGCTCAAACACAACTGGTTTATCTTTTCTGTTCTCTGGATGGGAAATTAACTTTTTTATCTACCTTTATTCCAAGAGTGTCCCCGCACCAATACCTCTCTCTCTCCTATCCCCTATCCATCCAGTTCCATCTTGCCATTACAATGATCTTTGGCTGCTCTTATTCCAATGCATTTTCCTGTTTGGTCTCAACTCCAATTGCATACAGTTTTCTCCATCAGAAAAACCCACAGAATTATAGAATCACCAAGGTTGGGAAAGGCCTCCAAGATCACCTATTCTAACCACACACCTACGACCAATAACCATCAAGGAAAAGGATACTATACAGACTGTCAGCAGAAGAGTAGGAGATGTTACTAGTTTGCTTTGAGTGAGAAAGCACAGAGAACAAGACTGTGATGAGGTACGTCACATAACTCCCCAAGAAAAATTCCAGTGACAGAAGAAATCACCAGCCCAGCCCTTGTGCACAGAAAAGGGAAAAGAAACGCTATGTAAGAAGTGATGGAGTCAGACAGCATGCTGGAGCCCAAAGAGTGCAAAAAAAAAAAAAAGATCCTAACATAAAGCAAATGACAGTCATACCATTAGCTGAAAAACCATTTCAGATGGAATATATGGAGCCCACATTTCTCTAGAAGTATAAACAGTTGGCAAAAACAGAACTACAAAACTGTTTGAAAACTATAAACACTATCTGTCACAGTACAGTAAGCAATGCAAGCAGCAACAAAATCTGCAGTTAAAACAGTCTGACAGCTCTTATTACAGTTCTGCTTTCATTTGATGAATTTGAAGCATCACAACAAGATGTTCTTGGGTGACTTTTATTTCTTTTTTTTTTTTTTTTTCCTTCAATGCTACTATACACAACGGGTTTGGGAACCAAAGATGATTTCAAAAAAATATTCTGCCTTTAAAAATTTTTACAAAGATTTTTCATCACAGAAATGTAACCCCTGCATTCTAGATTTTGGTTGGATGTCAGTGGGAAGTTCTTTACCATGACAGTGGTGAGGTAGGCTGCCCAGAGAGGTTGTGGATGCCCCATCCCTGGAGGTGTTCAAGGCCGATGGGATGGGGCCCTGGGCAGCCTGATTAACTGTGGAGGTTGGTGGCCCTGCTGTGGCAGCAGGGCTGGAGATTCATGATCCTTGAGGTCCCTTCCAACCCAGGCCATTCTGTGACTCACCACTAACATAGCTAACCGTAAGCTGCTACTGACAAAAGTTCCCATGAACTCTTGGGTCCTTTATACAATAAGTAATTAGGGCTGGGAATGACTTGTATGTCGAGATCAAGTTCACTTTGTAAGAAAGCTCTACTTATTTTAACCTAACCAAATTCCAGACAATACTTCAACAATGCAGGCACAAATCAGATGCTGCCTTTGCAGCATCTGAACAAGCAACAGATTCCTGGAAAGCTACTGAACTTCAGAATCCTTTGCATTTTAGGTAGAAGTTGATAATCACAATTCCAAGGCAGCTAATTATTCATCACAAAGAACTTTAGGCACCGTTAAAAACACAAGAAAAACAGTTGCTTTTATTTACCCAAAGCTTGTATGAGACAGAAAGACAGCCATGATATCACTACCAATAATATTGTCATCAACTCAGAATAGAGAGCAATACACACCCTTTTTCAAGTTCCATCAAAATGGATGCTATGACAGGAAAGGATTCACAAAAGATTTATGAGAATGACCAGACATCTGGAAAGAATACCTGCCTAATCTCTTGATAAATGAGGAACACCTTCATCAAGGCAACAAGAAGTCTCAATGTTACCATATGTATACACCTAGGTAGGACAGTCTTTGTAGAATACTTAAAATATAGTGAATGGAAAGAAGTGGTTTGGACAGTTCCTTGTTTCCAGCATTTCTCACCTTTGAGTGCCTGACTTAGCATTCTTATATTTCTGCTTAAATATATTTCTTATATTCAGTATGCAACACACTATGCAACGCCAGTGCCATATAAATCACGTAAGAAATTCCCATCACAGGCCAATGAAAGCAGACACCCTCTCTGAAAGCCACCAACCTAAACTCTAGAGGAATACAGAGCAGGAAATGTTCTATCTCGATTTTCCTTTGTACCTTTTCTTCAGTATCCCCAAGGTCACTCTCAAAACATCAAGCAGGATCACATGAACCTTCAAGCTGACCCTTGAATGCTGTGAATTAAGGGCCTTGTGCTGTTAGTGCTAAAATTGCATATGCTGTGTCAGTTATCCTTGTCAGGAAGCACAAGCTCAGGAGATGTAATTCTTAAGGCATATTTACATAATTCAGAAAAAGAAAACATTCAATCTGAATCTATGGACAAAGGTAATTTCAGTGTTTAACACTAAGTTCTGTATAGCCTTTATATAAAAATTATTTTCATATTGTTATTAAAAATGTTATTAAAAATAAAAAAAATTGTTTCTTTACTTTGCTGTAGTATCATCACATGAAAAAAGGCTAAGAACACAGGTTTCCAAACCTATACTATTTCATCTTTTGACCACTAATGAGAAAAACAATGAAAAAAAGGGAAAATTAAAATATTTTTCAAAGATGACTTCAAAAATTTAGAGGGACTCAAAGACTTCCAGTAACTATCAGTGCAGTGTAACCCTTTTCCTCACCTGTTTTGGGAATATCCACTCTCAAATATTTAATATTTAATTATTTAAAATATTATTTAAATATTTAAAAATAAATAAATACATATGATTATTTTACATTAAATATAAATAAATATAAATATAATAAATATAAATAAATATAAATATTATTTAAATATTTAAAAATATACTTAAGGAACAGTCTTTGCCCATTTATATTGGGAATGCAATTTAATAAATTAAAACAGATGGTCTAATATTAATGCTGATCTTTAGACTCAAGCATGAAAATGGAATAATCACAGTATTGAGTAGGCTGAAAAACAAATGATCTTAAGTACAAACTAGAAAGGTTTGTATCAGTTTTATCTCACACAGGTGTTGAGTTACCAAAAAAAATGCAGGCCTATCAAAAGACGTCTTCCTTGGGCAGAGGTTTATCTTGTTCCTGGAAAAGAACAACTTGTCAATGTACTAATGAGAAAATTATGATCCTAAAGATAATCACCAAATGAGAGGATGCATTAGAAAGCGATCTTTGAGATACAGCTGACAAAGCAGCCAAGAGCTGGCCTCAGCTACAGCAACTCTTCAGCACAAGGATTACTTCTACAGAGTAGAATATAACTAGAATTTATCCCCACCCTGCTGACTGCAGTCTTCACGCTATCACCAAAACCAAACAACTGTCTTAAAAGATGAATTCATTCGATGATTTATTATTTACTAAGTATGTCCCTAAACTGTACTGGAAAAAATAACTTTACCCCAAAGTAAACCAATTTTCCCAGCTGTTTACTAATTGACAATATTAGTCATCATACTTTCAAGTGATCAACCAAACAATTCAGGGATTAATCTTTGCCTTGTGATTTTAACGGTCCCTTAGTATACCACACACTATTCATTCAAGTTCTATAGAAAATTGCATCTCACTTGCAAAAAATCTTTGAAAATAATATTCACGTACTACTAGTTCATCTATTTATTCATTAGAGCCTGCTGACTGTGAATACTTATTAAAAGACAAGTAACTTCTTTGCAACTCTATCCTGACTTAAAAGCATGGAAGCAGAAAGAAATCATCACTAGCACTATAAAGCAAAGGGTAGGAGTGATGTATTTATACTGAACGCGGGTTAGAAGACAGTTTAAGACTAGCAACAACTGATGGCCAATTTGCCCTCCACAAAAAGTGTTTTTCCTCATTCTCTTGTCAATGAGTGGTTGCCATGCTATTGCTTCCTTCATAGTTAATGCTAACTGATAGCTCAAAATGATCTTTAGCAAAAGTTCAAGGTAGTTTATCCATCATGACACAGTCTTTCCTTTTGATTTTATTTACTTACGGTATGAAACTATATTTCTTCCACAATTCTTTCTGTTTCTTTGCTAGGGAAATGGTACTCTTGGTAATTCTTAACTATTTCTCTCTACTAACAGTTAGCCAGTATTGCATAGTCCCAAATAATGGATCTTATTTCTTGCTCAACAAACTTTCAGATGAAGGCACAACTACATGCCTGCAAGGAGGTAAATTCTCATAAAATTTCTGAAGAGAAAGAAAACCAGAAGAACAAGTTTAAAAATTAAAACTTTGCTGCATATTATCTCATAAGGACCCAAGTGAAGCACAACTACAGTTT